AAAGTACACAAGTGATCTATCACAGCTGCACAAGAAGTCTGAATTCTTAAATCTTGGCTGCATCTCAGCTCTCCAAGAACCAGCTGTGCCATTTCTCGCATATTTCTACAGCATCCAAGAACAATATTGTTAGAATACAACACATTTTTCCTCATGCTAGTATTGGAAGCCATTTATGACACTACCTTGAAGCTGATTATTCCTCTCTAGCATTACGACATGCAACTATTACGTAATAGTATCTGAATATTGATAACGTATTGCAAGGAACACATACGCATCAGAAGTAATTCAGGCATGTCTGAAATTAGACTGTCACAGTTTTAAGATAACAAGAAAGCTTCAAAGGGGTATGTAGCACGAGTCAATCTTTTTCCTGTTGGTATACAGTTTCAAATCATCAATTTCAATTGATTACATATAAAAATCCCAGACAGTCTTTGTATCTGCAATCATAGATGAACTTTCAATTTCACAGAATAACTGTCTTAACACCTTGTTAACTTTTCTCAAGGTGATAAGCTCTTAAATACTGCTGGCATTTAAAAAGACAAATGTTATTCCATGGTATTTAACAGTTGCATTCGTTCCTCCAGGAGGCAGCAGTAGAAAAAAGTTACAGTCTGTCTTTACAATGAGTTTAGGAAAACTACCAGTAGATATTACAGTGATTCGCAGAAATAGTGTTGCTGACGTGCATGAATGTGCATTTCAGTCTCATTCCCTTACAGCATTCCAGACTAGCTTCTGTACCATCCCTCCACTGCAGATTCAGTCCAGGTCAATACTAGCAGTAGTTAACTCTTTCAGTTCTTGTCCAACCTTAAGTGCCCTGTCAAGCTTACTACATCCTAAGGACATGTTCTCCTTGGTCTTTGCTCCTGCAATAATCTACCCCCTAGATTATTAGCAGTTTTAGTTTAGGAGAAATTCTCTCACACACAGAAGCTCACTGGAAGGCACAGAAACATTAGTGGCTAGTAAGGATACACCTATATAATCTGTGCTCTTGCCTCAGTGAATGTACTCCCTGACTCAGTGCTGGTTCCAAGGCAAGGAACACTGGAGGAGATGCATGTGCAGAGTTTGAGACACCACCAGACTAATCCTGTGGAATTACATAAACCTCACATGAAACAGTGCCCTCCAGGTTCAATATATTTTTTGACCTCTTTAAGAATTAATTCTGAGGGAGCTAAAATTCACTATGAATCAAATAACTGAAAGCTGGTAAGTGAAACTTAGATTCAACTGCACTTTTTCAATCCATCTCTTCATACTTAATTTCATCATACGAAACTTTACACACAACTTTATTGCTTTTTACAATCTTCCTCAGGCTGATCAGGTCTCTTCTACCCATGTTCATTACACTAAAAGCATTCCATAGTGCAGACAGGTTTTTTTCAGTCTGGTATCCTTTTTGAAAATAGGCTATTAGAACTTGCCTACTACATTAAAAGCATTGCTGAACCATGGTTTTATACAGCAACAATGTGTTATCAGTTTTGTCCTTCACTCCTTTCCTAACATAATTTGGTATTTTATGCTAGCAACTATGGGGTTGATGTTCAGTAAACTATCACAGCTCAGGACGGGCTCCTGGGAGGCAAGTCTGCCTGGCATTCATCATCACCTATGCAAAATACAATACAGGTTTTTTTCCCCACACACATGCAAACTGAACCTACACTGAACTGTTTGTTGGTTCACTGTCTCATCCTGAGTCTGCCAGCAATCCTTCACATTTTGGTCCTCATTTTTCTTTCATCTGATCTATTCAAAATAATCAATACTTAAAAACTTTCAGCCACAGTACTAGACAGTTACTTGCTCCCACAATTCACATGTAAACAAGAATCAGTGACTTGGAAATCTCTCCCAGTTTCATGCATTTGGACAGAAGGTCTGAAGTTCGAAAAACATTAAACCTGGATCTTAATCCAGGTAGGTTAAACTTTTTAAGCCATTTCAAGAATCCCATACCAACTTCAGCATTCCTTTAAGAAAGGGGTTAGCTGTCAGCTTCTATGCAGAGTAAAGAAATTTCTTACAGCTACAAGCCATTCAGACTCAAGTGCACAGATGAAGTAGACTAGGTTCTGTCAGCTGCATACCAGTATTAAGATACTGGAATGCTGTTCTGAGTCTTTTCGTCACTTCCCCATAGTTACATAGGCACGTATGAGAAGTACTGAACCATACAAATGAAACCAGTCACGCATGTATGAAGGAAGGTGTAGAATACGAGTCATGTGAATGGCCCCAAGACCAGCAGGCACAAAAGCCCCACACAAAAGGGCTAAAGGAAACTCAAGTCTTTTGTCACTAGGTAAATGTTTACAAGGGCTGCCAAGGCATTAGTTATGGAAGAAAACATTCACAAGGGGAATGGGTTCAAGATAAAACTTCAATATAGTTGATTATACCAAGTACTTACAGTGACAACCTCCACACTACCAGCAGCACTTGACAAAGGTGACGGAGGGTAAGGAACCATCTCCCAGGCCTCATGACCTAAAGCGTGCTATCAGCAGTCCTTAGGCAATTGGTAACAGTGTAAGATTCATTAGTTGCAGCTACTGTAGGAGTAAGCACATCACAGGTTAGTCAACAGAACTGAAGGACAAATGCTTTGAACCATTCATACTCTGGGGTAGATATCTGCTCCAGAGAAGGAAACAGAGGAAGAAAATGTTTAAGACTACTATGAAACAACAGCCCACTTTGCTGCCCAAGGGTGGGGGGGAACCATCTTATTGCACACTGGAGCATAAAAGGATAAATTTGTCCTCATTTTTACTTATTTCACAAAGTAATCAATAAAAACACACTTTATTTCTATATCCATTTATTATTCCAGTCTGTAAAAATATAAGACTAATATACAACTACATCTAGTTTGATTTTGTAAAATCATTCTTCATTCAGTGAGATACCAATGTACATTATACATTAAAGTTGTAAGAAAAATACTGATATTTGACATTTTAAACAAGTTTCATTCATGTAAAAATCACATCGCAAGTAAAATTTAATTAGAAAATACATAATATTCACAAAAATACACATGTTAAAGACAGCTTGTGAGAACATTGTCCCAAATTTAATTCAGCTGTGGAAAAAAACATGATTCACAGTTAGGCTTGACTTATCCAGTACCATAGCAGAACTTCAAAGTAAATGCATCTTAATTCTATTAAGAATTTGTTCTTTTTCCTATTAAGGTGCACTTAAATCTCCCAGTTGCAAGTAAGGAATGAGTTTTCCCCCCACTGTGCATGTACACAACATATTTAATACTAGTCCAAGGACTTGTAAGTTTTCCATTCCATTTTGAAACAATTTGGATATTTTATAAATTAATTTATAAAATCTGGCTTGAAAATACAATTTACATATACAGGATACTTAACACACAGATTACATTAATAGCAGCGTAGCATTGTCAATCATGCATAGCATCTTCACCATCACTTTGGGATTTTTTTTCTCCTCTTTTTTTTTTTTAGCTAAAAGATAAAATCTCTATAAAACAGTCAAGCCTTGAAGTATTTTCTTCCAGGGAGGAAACTGTATAGATGTTAAAAATTTAGGAGGTAGTGAATGAAAGGCTAATAATATCAGTGTATTTTAAAAAGCCTTATACCGAACCCCAGCATCGTTTCTGTATAAAATGAAGTTTAGCCACTCATAATCAACCGTTGATCATCCTGAAGTAATAATTTACAAGTATTTTGTAATTAACGGTGTATGCATTAGTAAGATACGGAAGAACTTCAGAAACTTTATGGTAACTGCAGCATTAAGCAATTACATGCTGTGCAGTCTGTCATTGCAACCGCATATACACACTTTAAGAAAACAAAACATGTTTAGGTTTATTCTTTAATGGTTTTTTATCATGTCCCAAATGCTCAGTTTTACTACGTGTTACCAAATCTCTATACAACAGAACACGGTGTGTGCCAAAGACACACTGGATTAATCAGTATCTCACATTTAGATTAATAGGCTTTCAGGAAAGGTCCTAAGAGAGTAATTCTCATGCAGTTTAGAGTAGGACCCTAGTTAAATTTCTACAAGTCCTTAATACTGGCATATATAGTCAAAATATTCATGCGTCTGTCAGGAGTACAGATTGGGTAGCACAGAGCTTGGCAGCACACTAACCCTGGGTGGTTGTACCTAAGCAATAGGTTACCTTGCAACACTAACACTCCCAGCCTCAATCCTCCTGTGAGTTAATAGCTCAAAGCTATTACCCAAGCTGCAAAATACTCCTGTGCCACATTAGAGCCATAACAGCTTTCCACTGAATGAAAGTGTTACACCTGCGTTAAGTGCACTACCAGTTCATTTTCTGTATCTGTGGTCCTCAGGTCTCTTCTCATCCAAGTGCCTTTATTCCTTTGCTTATTCAGAATACATTCAAGTAAACAAAAGGCACAGAAGTGCAAACTAGCATAATCAATGAAAGTCACCCTCCACTGATGGTTTCACACAGGAAAGAAAGTCTTTTGATAGAGGAAAAGACATGTCAAAGTAAACAATCTTCCTTAAATAAAGGAATTGTAGAGCAGCACTGTCAGAAAACATGTATAATTCAAAGTCTACACGCAGAATGAAGTTATTTTCCTCATTTCACACTAAGTGGGTGTAGTTACTTCATTTTTAGTAAGTATTAGCAAAATAATTAGAACACTTCAAAATTCTTGCTCACATTGGAAAAGATTCCAGGGCCTCTCCATATGCACACTGAAGAAACCATAAATATATCTGACAAAGCAGAACTCTAACCTGTATTTGCAGAGGTCCCCTGTCTGTTATGGTAACTCTCCATGAATCAAAATAGGCATGAAAACCTTCCTCGTCATCTACAAGACTTAACTCCAGTGGTATTGACAGCCTGAAAATACTACTGCTCATCAGATATGAATTTCAAATCTGCATTTAGTGAAACTGAACAGTAGTAATTTCTGAAGCATTTTTGTTTACACCATTAAGGAAACCTTAAACACAGTTTTAGCCTCTGATATCCTAGAAAGACTCTTACAGATATCTTAACATTAAATTTACAGTTAGTCTCTTGTTAGTAAAGTTACCAGAGGTAGATATTTCCACTAGATAGGCTGAGGGGAAAAAAAACAAAGGGGTTAGTCTTCTTTCCCACTCATCCTATCTCCTCACAGGGTAGAAGAAGCTTCCAAGAACCTCGACTGCTGGCTCTCATAAGCACAGTACCACAGTACCACAGTACAGAACCGGTAGCACCCTACTATCTTCTTAGAGGTTGACACAGACTACTGTATCGCTGGCAAGAAGCTCCGTCCATCCTTCTCCCCAGTCCTGTTAGTCCCATCTCATTTTCCTGCCACAAATTATGTTCCCAGAGAAGGGCCAACTTGGGAACTAATTGCCAAAATGGTAACGCAGGAATTATTAAAAAGGGAAAAAACAATGCTAAAAGCCTCTCCTTGTGCTTCTCCTGGTAATTGCAGCTGATCACATGCACACTTATGCACTTGCAGTATCAGGACTTGTCATTGGTGTTTTATGTCTAGCAGCTTTGTACTATTCAAAACACCCAGCCAGTGGTACACAGAAAGATCAGCATTTACAGTGTAGTTCATAATAACAAATCACTTAATATCACATGGCTCAAGCAAGGTCTATTAAAAGCTTCATTCTGATTTAAAACTTTTTTTAATCTAGGGATTTAATTTACCTTTCTAATAGAAATCTTTATGGCCTCTAATGGGACTGTGATTTTAACAAGGATTATGTTATGTTATTGCCATAGCATTAAGTTTACATTTGATTTCTTTGAAATTTACTGTGGTTGCACATTCACTTACAAAGGAACAGTTAACTTCAGAAGCCTCCACCTTCAAATCCTGGCTGCTGTCAGGTTGCTGACCACTATTGCAGATGCCTGTTGCTCAATGTGTCAGTCAGGAACTAGACCAACCACAAACATCTCTTCCCACACCACCTCCTGCTTATTTTTCAGTTTCCTCATACACTGAGCCACACAAGCAGCTCTACCAGCTAAACAGCAGCCCGGAACAGGAATGAAGTGGCCAAAGCAGCTCCATCATACGTAAGCAGCAGATGAACATGAAACCACAGTACATAAGACACTCAACCTCACACAATAATGGAAATTTACTTCTATAGAACCAGTAGTATTCTGCATTAAAAAGAAATAAAGTACCTTTAAAAGAAAGCTCACAGCCATCTCTTAGCTATCCTTCATTTTCAATTTAAATTCTCCTCATTCGACTTCAGTCGCTTCTCAGTTATCTTCCACCTTTGTTAAGTATTTACACTGAAGTGCACTACTAACTGAAGTTAGTCAACTTACATAATTTTGAACTTCTTGTATTTACTTTTTTCCCTCCTTTTACTCTAACTGCAGTGCTTGATAGAAGGAGAGGTATCAAATGTATTACATCTTAAGCCAAATCAACACATGTATGGCATCCTTAATACATAGTACACCAGTGTAATTTCACAGTGTTATAATAGTTCCATCTTCTTCTAACGACTTATGATCTGAATCTTGTACTTCATGTTCCATGCTAATGCTGCCTGCTGAATGATTCAAATTCATCTCAGTGGAAGGAAGGAATCCATTCTGTGTCGGCTCATGAAGGAATTCAGTTTGTCCCAATGATTCCAGGCTTTCGCTAGTAGGTGCAGCTTTTGGAATCTGCTGTGGCTCGCCACTGTCTTCAATAATAATGTCCTCTTCATCACTCTCCTCTTCCCCTTGCAAGAAATTTGCTAAAATATTTGGCGTGCTGCTTGGAAGGCTGGATTCAGTGGACTGGCCAGAGCTGCCAGAAGTCCGACTGTTCCTCACAACATTATTTCTCTGGTTTGCTGGTCTTACTGTAATGATCAGGTTTCGGCTGTTTGCAATCATCATGTCTGTAACCTGATCAAGGCTTTTTCCTGAAACCTCTATTCCATTCACCTCCAGTACTTCATCATTGACAGCCAGTAAGCCTGTGCTTTGAGCCAGGCCGCCAGGGACAAGCCTAGATATGAAAATCCCTGGCACTTTCTCTAATCCATGTGGTGTTACTCTGACACTAGAGCCATCTCGTATATAGAATCCAAGGGGTTTGTCAGTCCCGTATTTGTAAAGTCGCACCCTGCGATGGGTTTCAGGAAGAATATCTACATCTATAATGGAAGACACTGGTCTGAAGTCCTGTGGCATACTAATGACAATGTGTGGTTTCTTCTTGTGATTATCCGGACGTAACACATTTGATAGAACGTTTTTCTTCCTCGTCAGAGTATCCGTACCGAAGGCACTGTAGTCTGCATCTTCTGTAAGACACAGCACATTGGTAATTAGGTCACCTTATATGTGGTCCATATCACATTGCTGTCATGTTTTAGGTTATCTAGATTTCTGGCTTACTACATTAGAAACTTGTCTCTACACATGAAACAAGAGCTTTAATATTAAGTCATTCAATGTTTGTAATACTTTTGGTTTCCTTCTACCAAACTAAAGATAGTACAGAAAACCCCTGAAGCAAGTTAGTAGCAACAGAGACACAAAGAACTAGAGCTGCTTTAGAGGAAGGTTAGAATGGAATGGGTACATTCCTAGAAACATTTTAATTTTACTCAGAGTAATTCCACTGGTTAGTTTTCCCTCCTTGGGCTTCAGATCATCGGAAAAGGAAGAATGAAAAAGGGAAAGCAGCCAATGTGCCTATTATTGCCTGGCTCCTGGAAGCTGGCCAAGTGACCTGGATTCAAACTCCAGAAAGCTTGTTCCATTCTGCACCCTCTCCCTGCCCCCATGGCACTGTAGGTAAAATGGCTGAGGCGCAGAAACAAAGAGATCTTGCACACAAATACTCCAAGCCAAACCGTTCATAAAGCAATGCTGGAACTGCCACAATGTGATACAGAAGTATGCAAATGGCTGAGAGTTTAACAAAGAAAACATGCAAGTCATACCAATACTTCTCATTGAAGAGGAAATGTTCTATGGAAGCAATTCTGATGTCTAAAATGCCGATTAACCAAAGCAAGCTTCATTTTTAATTCCTAATATGCTATAACCCTCCAAAAACAAGGAACCAAAACACATCCAGACCCGAGTTTCCTTGGATTTACACTTTTATTTTTGCAATGTTGCACAGATTTATTGCTGTGGATAAAATAATCAAGCAGAACTGCTTTGGTCTAACGCTGCGACTCAGAGAAATCGGGATTTCTTTGTATTATCACATTAAGATGCCATTGGTTCAGCTAAGAAAGTAAAAGACACTATACATTTCAATGTGTGAACTGAAATAACTATGGAAATGCTACCCTAGTGTGAAATTTCAGGAGAGCTGTCAATTGCTGCTGAAAAAGTACACGGTGAGGGTTGGTAAGTCAGATTTCGTTTCCCCTAGGCTAAGATGAAGATATACAGACATGTACCAGTTATATCTGGACTCTTCTGATGCTTTAAGCAAGAAAACAAAGAAAGAAGTTCCGAAGTTAGTGAAGTCTAGTGCTATTTCAGCATGTAATACTAACTCCTCCCTTCCCCAGACACTGGGAGTGCTGAGAACTAGAAGGTTTTTAAGAATGATTGCTCTACTAAGGCAGACTTGGGACTTGGTCTTCTAAAAGACAAAGGACAACAAAAAAAAGTAACTAATTTAAATTAGGCCACAAAAAGCCACAAAGGCTTTTATCATAAGCTCACACCTTGTATCTAAACAAGAATAATCACATAGTTTATCAACATGGTTTAAAAATTGTGGCCTGATGGCAGCCTCAGTCACATTATCGTTTTTCAGTGCTTAAAAACAATCACACCTTCAGGAAGGCAAAGCTGTTTGCTAAAGACAGACTACGTTTAACATTAAAGGTTATAAATAAGGTTGTTAACTTAACAGACACAAACAGGAATTATTTCTGAAGGCAGCTAAGTCTATACAGCCGTACCCTGAAGTCACTTTTGTGACAACATCCGTTCCTTTGGGAGGGCATGGATGCTTCTCTGGACTGTTACAGCCACCCTGCAGAGTTAATTTCTACTCCTGCTGTTTCTCAGATGTGGCCACCTTTTCATCCAGAGGGGTGTTTCTGCAAGCCTTACTCAATGAGCAAAGGCAGGACTAACACAAATTGTTTCATGTGTTACGTCAGACACCCCACTGCTCTCACAGCACTGCAGGCATGTTGTGGACAAGCTGAACATGATCCCACAGTGCACTGCCACAGCAAAGGCAAAATGAACCCTAAAGCTGCATCTGCAGGGGCATTACTAACAGAAACAGAGATGTAACAACCCCCTGCTCAGCACCTGTCAAGCTGCACCTGCAGTAATTGTGTCCAGTTCTGGTCCTCGCAACTCAATGAAGAGGTGGACGTGGAGAAGATCCAAATGAAGACCATGAAGTTGACTGAACTGCGCTACGAGGAAAGCCTGAAGGAGTCTCTTGTATTTCAGTGTTTAAAGGATGTCTTCCAAAGGAATGGGGGTTTATTTGGCTGTCCTTTTGTTTTCTTTATCCCCCCCCCCCCAGTGAGATCAATCACTAGAACAACCTTCATGGGTACAAAGGGAGTCCCCATCACTAGAGATTTCCAAGATTCAACTGGACAGGGCACTAGTTAATCTCATCCAAGGCCCTTTCCAACGTGGGCTATTCTATGAATTGTACAAAGAAGAGCAGGAAAGTAGAAGCAAACCGAACAATCTACACTAGCTATACTTGAGAACATTAAATGATTTTTTTATTTTTTATTTTTTTTTAGGTTATTTGGGATCCTGAAAGGCTCTCTCAGAAAATGGAATTACTGTTGATCTTCAGAAAGAGAGGTAAAGGAGAAAAGGAAATGTAATTTAAGGCTAAACTACAGTAACATTAGGTCTTAGCATCAACCAAGGATTTAGAAATAGCCTAAAATCTGTTCTTCAAATGCCCAAGAACATCAAATCAGTTGTGTTGAAGAGCATGTTGATTAAAAACCAATCCAACCAACCAAACCAAAGTGTGTAACAGGTGGACTATGGCTGAAGTGTAAAACTGCCAAAAAATACAAACTTGCCATTTACTCTCAAATACATTTGGGGATGGATATCTAAGTGAAGATCAGCCATTACAAACCCTGCACTGCATCACTGAGCACTAACAGGGCTGGTTTTCCAGACAACATGGAACTTTTTTTTTTTAATGTTTGCTTAAAATTTATGATCAAAGGAAAAAGTGTGGGAAGTTTTGCCCTTATCTCCACTGAACCCATCCAACCAGTTTCAAGTTAGACATCTGGTTGTTACATTGGGAGGATTTTTGCAATTCAATGAGTTGCAAGAGCTTCTCTTCTTTGGAACTACAATTGCTTACAAAACAACTTGGAAAGGGCCATTGTGAAAGAAGACACTAGGCAGAGGGCTCTTACTTTAAATCTTTCACTGTTGAATACAAAGTAATATGACACTAAAAATGATGATATAGGTGAAGATTTCAGACAATCAGAGGACAATGGTGACTCAAATATAAAAATTCAGAATGTTAATGAAGGCAAACGGGTTTTTTTTATGTCATGGATTTCCCCTTACCCCCCAGCAGTTACATCTCAGTAATCCCAAAAACTAGGTAAAATCTCTGGTTTCTTGTGCAGTGCATGTTTCAGTAGTGTAAATCTCATACTTCAGAACTCCAGTTTTAAGGCTGCACAATCTATGTTAAATTCAACAAGACTAGATAAAAACATTCCAAGGACCAGGAAGACACTACATGGACGAGACATGTCATTTCGCCTCATTTCAAAAGCTTCACTTCGGTTTTGGTTTGTAGCAGTGACACATTTCTAGGCATTTAACATCACACTGCTCCAGAAAGAGCTCTGTTCTGTGGGAAGTACTCCAATAAGCCATGAGTAAGCTGGGAAGGATTTCAACTGATTAGTTCCACATTGTTCAGACCTTAAGCTATATCACAGTGGGTTTTTTAGACTAAGCTCATCTGAAGAAAACAGGAAAATTGCACATGCACCATTTATCCATTTTAGAGTGCAAGCTGCTGCTGAAAGATCTGGGATATGGGCACTAACATATAACCTGTGAAACAGCCATGGTGGATGGGGCTTGGAGCAATGTGATCTAGTGGAAGGTGTCAGTTCCCTTCGCAGGGTGTTGGAACCAGATCATCTTTAAGGTCCCTTCCAGCCCAAACCATTCTATGATTCTCCTGCTTTTAATACAAGAATTGGTTTTAAACCAGAAAAGTGTATCAAAACACTGCCAGCATTGATTTTCTTACAATGCTGTTCCGCATGCACAGGTTCCAACATTAGAAAGGCATTTGATTTTTAGGTTTTTCCCTCCTTAAATTTCAAGTGCATGAAATCAGATTCTTGTCAAAGAATCAGAGTATCTGATATTTTATACATTGTCATATCAAAAGTATGTCATTATTTGACATTCCCACCTTGCCACATAGCAGCTATAAGGCTTCTTCACTTTCATAGCAGGCCACATAGCAGGATTTCTCTTCCTGCCACTCAGGCCTTCTGTGCCTACATGCTAAGTGCGGTATGTACTAGATCTACAAACATATACACATTTATTTTATACACATCCAATAAGTAGATTTATTGTGCCCTGCAAATGATCACATAAACTTTGTGCTCTTTATCCAACAGTAAGAGCTATTCACAACTTCCTTCCACAACAAGAAAGACAGTTCACAGAAAGCAGCACCCAGCTTTTCCTCCCACAACTATCAGCTGATAAGGCTTAAAATTTTTGTCCAAATCAAGTTTTTCCAGAATTAGTAGAGAAACTACTCTCAGTTGCAAGCGGACTGGCTTTTCAAAGATTATATATCTGCATGTGAAAGAATAGATTGGAATGTGCTTTTTAAACAAAAACTGAGATCACAAAAAACATTTATTAGAAGAGAGAAGGACTTTAGAAATCGTTTTCAGAAGACAAATGTACAATCAAAAATATTTAACATTGAGCTGATGGTTTTTGTTTTTAGAAACTTTTACTTAAATTACATGACACACTGTTGAAATAAAAGTATCCCAAACTTGCAGGCCATATGTCAAAACATTTCAGAAACTACAAAGCACCAGAGGGGAGAGTTTTTGCATTGTAACTAATCTTAGTAGTCTAATGGTACAAAACCAGCACACACCTTAACACAAACAGTTAAAGTGACATTTGTGGGGAAAGGAAATAGCAAAAGGTTGATGAAAACTCATCTCCAAACCTCAGTCAAGCAGCGTGACTCTGTTTAACCTCTCTTCACTGCTAAGCAAGTGCTCGAAAGCAGGATTCTGCAGTACAAAGGCATCTTTGTTCTGGCACTACCTAATCAGTTTAAAGCTTCAGCGGAAAATATTTTGGCATAAAGCCAGAGGACAAGGTGTTAACTACAGATAGTGTTAAGGAGAAGGTCCACATAGTGCAAGAATGAGTTTTCCCTCTGCAGTTTCAAACTCAAGGTGGCACAATCTGTATATACTCATTACATGGTGTTTAAAAACAACAGCCCACAAATGCCAAATCTGGTTTCAATTTAGCATTGTTCAAGACAGATTTTAACACGTTTTCCTGATCTGTTTGCAAGCAACACAGAGCTACCCACACAAGTTACATTTGCAGAACCCCCAAATAATTAGTAAATTTGAATATACATACAATTTAGCATTTTTAAAATAAGGCCAAAATTTATCATGTCTTGTATTGAGTCCCAAGTTATAACAAAACATGGATCTAGGAAGTGACCTACGTTTTTTGGAAGAGGACTCAGAATAGGGAGGATATTCTATAAACAGCTGTTTAAAAGCCAACTTCTTTTAATTTTCACTAAAATAAAGCCTCTCAGTGAAAAGTCTACCTCAAAAGGCACAAATGAATTAAACGAAGAATCCTGTTTTTACTATAAACAACCATATACATGCATGACTTGCAAGAGCTGTATATTGTAATTTAATAACTTACATGTGAGTTTGAAGGACGTTATAATCAAATACACCTTCTGTTATCATCTGTATTATTCTTGTATTTACAATGCAAAGTCCCCCACGTTGAACTGCCCTTCAGGGTTTGTGTGGACTGTATCCACCCCCACCCTCCCCATTTGATCTTCAGGAAGATTTTTCTCACAGACAGAGCGACTCCTATACATCTGGATTTAATTATGATACATCAGTTTAACCTTTACATTCCAGATGTCAGCGGTACCTGTTAATCTGTTAGACTGCAGAAAGAAATTCTGATAAGGGAACTGTTTTCCAGAAGCTAACAGGCACTCTTGACTTGCGCAATATCAAGCTCCAGTTTAGATTTAGCACTGAAACACTTCAAAATGTTTTAAAGGAATCTGGCTAAATACAATTAGAAGAGTCTAAGGGGAATAATGTGACTTCATTTAATTACAGGATCTCTTAAGTTTCTTACTACATTAACCAATACACAAATGCTTGGGACATCTTCTGGCTTTAATAAATTAAAGTCAAAACAAAACAGAAAAGGGTGCTTACTCTGACATAATTTCTGACATTTTAGAGTCACGTTATCACAACTGTCACTTGTTAATAAACGCAAAAGCATCTTGTTGCTTCCCTTTCAACCCCTTAAGGTGTTCTTGGATGCAACATACTAAGAAGTTAATACTATTTACTAGATTTTATTGTAGTCTTCTCATACCATATGTTAGCTTCCCACAAATTCCATCTAGCTCTGAAACTGGTAAGATAATGTGATAGAATGTCATCTTTTAAGACAGTAAAAACCCTCTCTTTTTCCCCACAGTGGCTTTTTATCAAAGACCTTAAATTCCCAACTATTATTGCTGGAAATATGAAAAAGGACAAAGTCCCATTAGAAAACGCACAGAAATTTTTCAGATTGAAGAGAATGCATGAAATACACAAGAAGCCTTGCAGGTAGAAGAGTAACTAGTTAGTTATAGTTGCAAAACACCACAGATCAAAGCAGCCCCATCAACAGCAGGTATTTGTTCAGATGTTCGATTTTCAATTTCAGAGGTAGGGCCAGGAAAGATCTATGCAGTTCAAAGAATTAACCATACCTAAACAAATTAGGCTGCACAAATTCCGATACATCTCTAACCCTGCAATGCAGCTTTAGAGGCAAATTATCACAAATAAAATACACAATTAAGTTATTTCCTTATTTTCCATCAGACGAACCTCTGTTAAGCAAAGATACTAAATGAAGCTAAAGCCTTAATTCAATCAACAGAACGATCAAAGCAGTCACAACTAATTCAGAACACAGTACAGTGCTGGAGGTGCTGGACTCAGGTGCCAGCCTGTGTTCTTCATTCACTGTAACTCTGCATCCAGAAGGCTCTGGTGTCAAAGGGAAGGTGATGACAACTGATACTCTCTACACAGCTTTTCCCGATAGTGAATTCCATGCATGATAAACTTAAGTGGGTTAATCTTATTTCTAGTTCTGTGCATTACCAATCACTTCTATTACTAAGTCCTTGGACCCGAGTAATAAGGAGCAATCCATCATACCTTAAATAACAGTGCAGGGAAGGTACAAGGTGTTAGAAATGTAATACTAGTAGCAGTCAGCATTAAACATGTAACACTAGTAACAATCTAAAAACATACGGTGTTAAAATATAAACTCAATAATCCCACTCTGACAAAGTGGCTTATCTGTTCTCGTCATATGGCTACTGTAGGAGATTAAATGGAATCATAGACCTTTTCTGCCTCCAGGTGCTATTAAAACAAACAGTTAATTCCTTTAGCAATTCAGGACTGAAAACGTGTTGCTATACCACACAACCCTCAATACAAACAAAACACATTTTGCCAGCAACACAGCAGCTGGCAAGCATCCACACTGCTTTTGAATATTGTTTTTGTGTAGGCTGCTGTGGATCTTGTTCATTTTTTGGAGTGGGAAAGCTGATAAAAGCTTTTGATGCCCAAGTATTTTCTAAGGAAAGTAAGTCTGGCTTAGCAACAGTCAAAAACACTACACATCTTTGTAACACAGCTAATGAAGAAGTAGCCTTCTATTCAAAGAGGAGTTGACTGGCTTATTCTAATAGGAACTGCATACAGATGTTCACATATGTACATACAATATATGCACACTCACACCTGTGTGCAAGTCAGCAGAAATCCAAGAAGCGCAGAAATCAGAATTTCTTGACTTCTCTGTATTAAAGCAATTTATAATCACATCACTAGATTTTTCCCTTCCCCTTCACATGCTCCCCTGGACAAGAACAAACAACTTTAAATCTGGTGGGTTTTCCTTCATGGAAAAAAGCAGACGCTAGAAAAAGACATTGAGAACTTCATGCCTAGAGGACATGCTATTTTTAAAGGCAGACCAACAAACTCAGCACACTCACATTTGAGGTTTGCTAATTGAAATAAGCTTGTCATTTTGAAGGTTTTAGAATGTTTTATTAGAAAAGTATGACAAGAATAGCATATTAAACTCAGCCTTTAATTTATACTGACATTTAATACCTCGTAGTAAAACTTTCAAGATTCCTTTCTATCCTGTAATTCTCATCTGATCAAGATTACAATTTTACGTGAAAGGCATTCAACATACAGAACAAAGAGCCCTAGAGGTTTAAAGTTTATTTTCATTTGCTGGTGTAGAACCAAAAAGAAGCATTTGCTAGAGATTTAATTTTACGTTAACGGGACTAAATATGAGAAAAAAAGCACAAATTATAAATAGGTTGCCTGAGGAAGCTCTTGCAAAACAGATGAGTTGTGAATACCTTTCATGATCCATAATTATTATGGAATTTAACATGATGAAATAGGACTGAAGGGTTTTTTCCTCCATAAGTCACACTGGTTACTGTATAACTGGAGAAACAGATGATTCACCGGCTTCACGTGCACTTACCTTTTCTCTGAATGAAAATCCTGAGTAGAGGATTAGCTGTGGAAACTGCTTTGTGATAGTTGTCATCATTATTGATAGGCAGCAGGTCTCCATGAATGTCCGTGTATCCTACCAGAACATCGACATTTGGTATCTTGTGCACATGCTGCAGTAATCCATAGAACTCCTCAAACTTTCCAGGTTTGGATCTCTCCAGAGAAAATCGTCGGAATTCTGCTCCAAACTACAACAAAATATATTGTACATCCTTACTATGGAAATGTAACATTCTCAAGCAATAGAATGATCTGAATGTTGAACTAGAAATGATATGGAATTAAAAATGCACTAAAGAAGACAACCAATAATTTCGAAGTGACAAAAAGGTCAGTATAAACTGGCTTTTGGTGTTTGGTTCCTCCCCCCATTCCCAGTAATAACTTTTTTCATCTTGATAAAAGAATTCACTAATACAGCAGTTTAGCATTAAGGTGACAAACTAGTGCCAAGAATAACTGCAGATTCGCACATGCTCATGGAACAGCCACACTCTCAGTAAGAGACAGAATTCATACCCAGCACTGACGTTGGTGGCTCAAAACCAAGATTATGATTAACCTCCTACGGTATGTGACTACCTGGAATTCACTGCACTTCAGAACAGCATGTATAAATTGTTGTACAGCTATGGTTGACTTATGCAAGATTGAGAAGCTTTCAGATTCCCAGTTGTTTGGATAAGAAATGTAAAAGCCACTTTGGCCTGAGACTACAAAATATTGCTGCTGCTTCTCAGTACAAACTGTGCAGTAAAGCTGTGGTGAGCTGATCTCAAATCAAGTCTGCTCTTACCTAAAGACAGAAAGAAGGCAACCAGCCACTACTCAAAAGGACTCAGATCTGCCCGCATGACCAAGTCTCTTGACTGCAGAGTCTTATGAAATGCAGTTGTATCCAGATTCAGGTTTGAAAAAAAAAAAAAACTAAAACCAGAATCACTGGCACTGGACTTCCAGAGGCAGGATTTGCATTTAGTCTGTATGATCATTCAAGAAAACACTCAGGTCCCCAGTCCATGCAAACTCCTAAAACACCTACATAACAAACACTGATTCAGTGGCAGTGGGCATAAAACTAAACTAGGTGCAAGCGAGAAAGCAAGCATCTGATGTAGACTAGATATACCGGAGTTTTCATATGCATAACTAGTAAAATTACAGTGTTCTGCCTAATACTGGCAGGACTTAAAAGCAAATAGAATATGGGATAAAAATTACCCCAAACCCTCCATGTCAGGTACACACAACATATCAAAGATGCTAAAATTGATAGCAGCAGTCAGCTTACTAAAAGCAGACCAACTTGTATATGAACTAGAAGGGTAATAAGCTGATCATTAGAAAACACAAAACCAAACAAAAGTCAGATGGTAGCATATTTTTTGTGAACTCTATTGCTAACCTACAGTGAAAAAACTTTTAAGTAATTACTTTAGTGAGTTTAGTTTTAAACAGAACAGAAGGGCACATGGAACAAAATACTGACTGCAAGTTTGAGCCTCAGTATCACATACTTGGGTATACATTACACACCACAGATATGAAGGTGCATGTTACCAAGCCTCCAGGCCAACTTTTACCTTACTTTTGATAACAACCTTCTGGAGCAAAAGCAAAAGCTTTACAGTTCTCACATACAAATAAAGGCATGAAAATAAGGAGACAAAGATGCCATTGTTAGCACATTAACACCATACTAACTCCAACAGCACAGTAGAACAAGCTATGCCTACCACCACCCCACCTTCCTCACAAAGTTTCAAATAAAGGAATTATGTGGGAACATTCCTCTTCTAGAAATACTCCACCACAGTAACATTAACTAACAATAAGGCAGGAGGGATGATTCATACCCATGAACAAGAAAAGCAAACCCTACAGGAGGAACTCTCATTATGTCAGAAGCAGCACGCTTAATCATGACGTAAGTGAAAGACTTTATCCTGTGCCTCTCAAATCTTCAGCTATGTGAAGTATGAATGCCACAGGAATTGCCCATGCACTGCATCAACTGAAATTGTTTGGCTTCCAAAGACTACATAGTTTAAACATAATTCAGTAATAAAAGTTTAAAAAGCCAACAAGCCCACTTGCAGTTTGGAGTAAATATTAACTCCTCTTCAGCAAGCATGCGAAGGGCCACATTTTCAAACGTGAGGGGTTTTTTTTCCTCATTATTTTACACATAGTTGGTGCAAACACCAATAGACTAATAATCTATCATTTCCTAACATGGTATGCCATATGCTCAATACTACTATAAAGCAGGTAAAAGACAAAAGTAAAACTATTTCATTTCACAGTTCATTTTAACCCCCTGAAATGTTTTCATTTGATATCAACTGGTGCACTCCACCCCATTCCAGGCTGCACTTAGGGGAGATGAAAGATTGGAAAAGTAGCTTAAGAGAAGGCTTCTTACCTGAGCTTTTTACAAACACACTGTTACACTGCTAACTCAACTGGGAAAACACAGCACAAGCCATATCAGTATACTAGGAAATAACTAGAGTTAAGACTTGAGAGACATCTTTAAGTCACCGCAACACAGCATACTGCTGCTATGCTGTAAGCCTCCAGCAACAACATGAACTACAGTAACCATCTGTTTTATCAGTATATTAGATTTCATTCTGAAAAGAAAAAGTATTACTCAAAGTCCTAAGAGAGAGCACAGGGAATACCTGATTTTTGAATCTAGAGAGCTAGAAGTTTATCTGGGGGCTTTCATACCACCAGTGGGAACTCTAGCTTGGGGTATAAAAGATCGTTTTCTATGACAAGAAAAAGGCTAACTGAAATTAATATACTGTGGGGATTCCCAATGGGAAGTTCAGCCCAGTTGCCATAAGTTGAATAAGCCAAACTAACAGAAGAAATTTGCTCTTATAACTGCAAGTACAGCCAGGCTGTGCTGGCACAGCTTTATCAGCTGGGCAGGATTATTGATCTGCAATATCTAAATACAGAGCTCTACCTCACTCATAAGCCCTCAAACACTAGACCACTCCACAGTAATGGTCCCCTTCATCTCCTACACAAGGAAGGAAGAAGACTTTCTTCCTTCTCTTTAGAATAGCTTATTTTCATAAATGGAAGAGAACTTCTATGCTATATTAAATCAAAGTGCTGTTAAATAATGCATTAGTGACAAGTAGTTCTAGGAATGCCTTGAGACCTGCTACATAATACACACTTGAGAGAATCCTTGTTTATTAGAACTCCTACACATCTTTATACAAACACCAAAGAACGCATAACATAGGTGATCTCTAGATATATTTTAAATCAAGGAAAACACAATGTAAGCCTAGTCTGGGGCTGAGGAAACAAGCATTTTGTTTGTAAGCACATTGTAGCCATTGTTTTCAGCCTTGTAAGAGCACAGATAAAAGACTTCCCCAACCACAGTAACAGCTATGTTTAATATTTGGCATACCAGGTAGACCTGTGCTTTCTGGTTTTGACCACGTGAAAAGTTAAGGCTTGAAAGAAGTTATCCTCATTCAAGCAACAGAGACAAACCATACATTTTCTAGAAGTTTCAGCACTGTAGCAGGCTATCCTTAAAAACACACACACAAGTCTTGACCACTCACTTCACCTATTTCATGGCTGCTGTAACACTTGATTGGCAGGAAAGGAAGATACAGGATACAGACAGGCTGTAGACAAGTTTAAAATAAAAGCTAACAGGAGATCTATTTTTTCTACCAATGGAACGAAAACCAACCCCTACATCCATGTAGGTACAATTACAATTTGTCTAGACAGTGAAAAAGGGGCTTTAACTGAAGCTATCCAGATTTAGCTAATGGCTTGATTAATGTGCCTAATACTGCACATTCAACACTTTTATAATTATTAATAGCAGAATATCATTAAAGTATAACAAATATAAATCAGAAAAAAAAACCAAACTCATTTCTCTCAGAACAAACTTTTGCCAAAAGACTTTGCCCAACGAGCACACGAGAAATTAACAACAGGAAGAATGGATGCAGATACACCCGTGAGAGAATTTACACAACTGTGCAAAGATCTGACCACAGAAACTGTTGTATAAGCCAGAACATACCGATACACACATGAAACAATTGCTAGTGTCAAATCCTCAGATCGCCTCTAAAAGAAGGCAAGCTCTATTTTAAGGTAAGTTAGTCATGTCTTACCTCTAGCAAGTAATGCAAGTTATAAGAATATGTTCTACCCCACCAGAAAAAAAAAAGCGCGAAAACACATTCACCAAGTTAAATAATAGAAAAAGAAAGAAGCATAGAAACAGCCCCTAAGTTAGTGGGGGCTTTCTCTAATTCAGACAGCAGTTTTTGGAGTTTGTGAATTACGACTCTGAACATCTCTTTTCCCAGCTATACCAAACTTTCCTCAACCATCTACTTCTCTGTACCCTTTAGTCTATGCAGAAACGAAGGGTGCAACTCCATCAACCTGCTTTCTAAAAACACTTCACATACGCTTATTTCCTCCCGCAAACCGCGCTCCCCGTGCGCAGCTCCCGCTGTCGCAGCCTCCTTGCAGCCGAGCAGCCCAGGAGCTGGCCGGAGCAGGGCCGGGCAGGTGGGGAAAGCAGACGGCCCCCGCAGACACCCCGAGCCCCATGGCATGAGAAGCGCTCCAACCCCACCGGGACCGGACACCGGGGGACACCGGCCCGTCGCCCTCGGTGCCACCAGGTGAGTCAGCAGCGCTCCCTGCCCCGACCCCTCACCGCTCCCCCCGCCCTTCTCCACAGCAGCACCGCGACCAGGCGCCCCCGCAGGGCAGGGCCGGGCCGCGCCGGCCAGGCTCCTTCCCGCTCGACGCCGCCCGCGGCCCTCAGCGCAGTGACCAGCACCTACCTTACTCTTCACCTCCATGGTGCCCAGGCCCCGGCTGCCCGCGGCGCCGCGGTGAGGCCGGTTCATGCCGCCGGAGGGTCGGTGTCTCGTCCTCGTTCCGCCGAGTGCCGCCGTGCGCGCTGCTGCGGGAGGGAGGAGAGGGGCAGAAGGAGGGCGAGCGGCGCAGCCCGAAGCCAACTGCCCCCCTGCAACCACAGGCGCCCGGTCGATCGCTGCCGCTGCCGCCGCCGCCGCCCTCAGACGGAGAAGAGGGGCGGAGCCACGGCGGCTCCTGGCACCTGCCGCGCCACGGCCAGCCGCGGGGGCGGAGCGGCGCCGCCACGGCGCCTGCGCCGCTGGGAGGGCGGGGCCGCGCACCTGCCGCTGCTGAGCATGCGCAGTGGCCGGCTGGCGGGAGGGGCAGCGCACCTGCGCGGCGCTCGGCGGGGTTCCAAGATGGAGGCGGGCTTCTTATGCGGGTGAGGAGGAGGAGGGGCGGTCGTGTGATAAGGAAGTCTTTCCTTCCCTGTGTCCTAGGGAGCAGGTGTGGGATGTGCCTCGGCAACCTTCGCCCTGCAGTAGCCGGGTCTGGTGTGTACACATAGGGCTGAGGTCCCCCGCCTTCTCCTCAGGCCGCTCAGTGTATCGCCCCCTGAGGCGGGCGGGACCAGGGCGCCTCAGGCGGGTTGGGGTCCTGCGGACTTAACACAGAGCGCACAAGTGTTAGTTCGTGTATTGACATTGTACAGATCGGGCTGGAAGTTTGAATTCTTGCTCTGGATGTCTGCCCGGTGCATAAAGATGCTTTTGGAGGTTGTTTTCATTTTAACCACAAATAACATTGTAGTATCTAGTAACATCTCAAAGTGGTTGTCTCTGTCAGAGATATATCTAACATATCAAAGCAGTATAATTCTGAGATAGATCTATTATTTTCATATAAATGTCTGCCTAACTACCCTGAGAGAAGTGCTGACAAAACCCCTTAGTGAACGGACCATAACCAACTCACAATCTGAAGAAGAAAGACTTCTCATTTGTATAATTTTATATGCAAGAAGAAAGCATGTACATTAATCTAGTTATGTCAACAAACCTTTGAAATCCAGGTCTCTCCCTAATCTATAAAACTGATAGAAGAGAACTCAGTGTGAAGTATCTGTGTGTGGAAGGCTGTGAAGGGAATTCAAACAGTTCCTTGCAGCTTAGGCAAGGTGTGAGTGTCTGTGCACTTCTCAAGTCTCAGCTGGTAGTAATTAAAAAAATAAATCCAGTGCTGAATCACTTTCAAATTGATGCTGTTTTATGTACATTGTGCCAAAGGCAAAGGAATTGCAGCTATCGCTCAAGACAAGCCAAGTTGTAATTAGTAAAGAGGAGATTGTTAAGTATAGTTTGCTGTCAGACAGTGTCTAGGCTAATTCAGTCTTCTCATCCTTTATTTAGTATGGTTTGGGTTTACACTGCAAAAGGATGCATAGAGAATTCAGTCTAAATTTTTATAAAGTCTGTGATCCTGATGTAATAGATGATAGACTACAGGACTTGGATAAACCCTCTTATTTTGTCACTTTGTAATTACAAAATTGAAGTGTTTGGACTGCTTTCCATTTCTGTCTCCTACAGCATGCTTTGCTTAATGAGCGATAGGAAAGCACAGAGTACAAGTGTCAGAATTGTGCCTTCTCCAGGCTTTTAAACCTATTGGCCTGCCTCTTTTCTTTTGGAGAGAGGGAGGAAGAATGTCCTGAAGGTGATTTGTGCTTGAAGCCATCATGCAGTTAATTTTATTGGTATAGATTTATGAAGTATCATGTAAGATAACTTCTTCTGTTGTGCATTCCTGGCATGGTTGGAGTGCCATGCGGTGGGTGTGGTGGCATGCTTGAGGAGTCAGGGCAAATTCATTTCAAGCCACTGGAACCAGCCTAATAAAAAGTATTAATCACTGGCTTGCTTTCATCACAAGGAGCTGATGTATGAGGAAGGAATGTGATAAACAGTTTGATTTCAGATAAAGGTAGGGAGAAAGGCAAGCTTTCTGTGCCAGTTGTAATACAAGTTTATAGAGCTATTTTAGTCACAAGCTCTCTAAAACCTGTGATTCAGAGTTGATCAAGCTATTCATGGCACGTTCAGTTTCAGCTTTTGTGAAGCTGAAAGACAGGTTGGGTTTCCTAATACGGACAGTTGGGGGAGTTTTCTGGGAAGCATTTTTTTTTACATTGTTTGTTTTGGTGTAGAAATCCAGTCACTAAATCCACCATGGAGTATAGAGACATTCTACTGTAATAATTCTTTCCCATCTGGAGACTTCCCGCTTCTTAAGCGTAATGGTGTTCCATACAACCCTCTTGGAAGTTGAAAGAACACTTCCAAGAATAAAACATAGAAAATGCCTGCCAGTGTATGTTGACTGTTATCAAGGACCTGCCTAAACTTTTGTTGTATAGATCAGTGTTTATGCTGGTTTTGTATTTAAGATAAACTGTTCATTGTTGATACTGTCAGTGCTGGCTCAGAAGAGTGTTTGTTACATTCAGTAGATTGTAATCTGAGTTTGTATTGGAGTTGATGGGAGGTTGGTTATTTTTTGATGGGAAGAGGGAAAAGGGGAAAAGAGAAACTTTATTTAAAAAGTTATAATAGGAATGTCATACCACAGATTCTCAGCTTTCTTCAGACAAATAAAACCCCACCTGTACTTGCAGGCTTTCATTTTGACCTTCTTCAATTTTGATATATTAATCTTGCATACCACTTACAGGATCATAGAATGGTTTGGGTTGGAAAGGTCCTGAAGATCATCTAGTTCAAGTGCCCCTGTTTTCTTTCGCCAGAGTAATTTGTGAGCATTACTTACTTGTCTTTCCAGTGCTCACTGAGTATTCCTGATCTAGAATTTGGAAATGTTACAGCAGATGAAAGGAATAATCACTCCGAAATCTCTTTCAAACTTCACTTGATACAGATTATAGTTTTAATTTTATCTTATTCTTAGATAATTAGATAAAAAGCTTCACCTAATAAACCTTTTGGAATAAATGCTTTTAAGCTCAACTGCAAAGCAAGTTTTACTGATATTTGTGAGTAAAACAGTGCCCTCTGCTAGCGGATGCAACCCAGAATAAGTGGTACTGTAAGTGCCATCTACTGAATAGTGAGTACTTGTGTCTTTTACTATAAACTAACTTCTTTTACAGAATGAGGGTTGATCTTAAAAATATTTGTGACAACACAGTGTGCTTGTAAAACAAATTATTAGCTTTATCAGTTATTAAAGGTAATTTCCCATCAGAAAATGTAACATTTGAGCTTTGAAGTGAACAAGCTACTACGGATGCTAATGGTTTAATCTTTTATAAATGCCCAGCTCCTGTTACACAGCACCTTGCTGCACAACTTTGTTGGACTGCCTTGTCCTTATGTCCCTTTGTCCTCTGGGCATGATGTTTAAAATGCTCTGCATTGCTGTCTGTGTCATATTTTGAGTTTGGACGTTGCTCTTGTAAGCAAGTCCCTCCTGCCCATGCATTTTTATGTGCTGTTTCAGAAACCTCCCAGCTAGTTCCCTTTTCCTGTAGCTGCATACTTGTCTGTCTCTGCCTCTTTTCAGATGTTCTAGAAACAAATCTGTGTCCTCTGAGCTGGCCCCAAGTCACTGCCAAGTCATACTGATCTGATAAGGAATGCTCCAAGAACGAGAAGTAATTGCAGGACCTGTTATGGTTCTGTTACTTGTCTGCCTCTGAGAAAATGAATTAATTTCACAAATGATATCTGCATCCAGTTGCAAAACTAGTGATAGCTATTTATAAAATAATTATTACTTACTATGATTGAATTATTAATGGATAACTCATGAGTTACCTAAGATTGCTCACACATGCTCAAAAAAAGGTACTGGAAGAGCCTGCAACGCTTATCATGGAATCTTGGAGTCGTAGAATCACAGAACGTATTGGGGTGGAAGGCACCATAAAGATCATCCAGTTCCAAACCCCTGCCATGGGCAGGGGCACCTCCCACTCGATCAGGTTGCTCCAAGCCCCCTCCAGTCTGGCCTTGAGCACTGCCAGGGATGGGGCAGCCACAGCTTCTCTGGGCAACCTGTGCCAGTGTCTCACTACCCTCACAGGGAGGAACTTCTGCCTAAGAGCTCATCTCAGCCTTCCCTCTTTCAGGTTAAAGCCGTTCCCCCTTGTCCTGTCGCTACAGGCTCCTGTAAAAAGCCCCTCTCCAGCTTGTCAGCCTCTTTAGGTACTGGAAGCTGCTTTAAGGTTTCCCCAGAAGCTTCTCTTCTCCAGGATGAACAACCCCAGCTCTCTCAGCCTATCTGCTACCTGCATCCAATTGCAAGAATAATGATAGCTCTTCATGAAATAATTCATTATTATGATTGAATTATGATTGGATCATATGCAAGTCATTTAAGGCTGCTAACACGTGCTCAAAACAGAAAGCCTTGGAAGCGCCTATGAGGCTTGTGATGTGATTCAGCTCGGGCTGGGTTACATCCGTGAAGAAGGTGGATCAGCCGGCTAAGGGCGGAATCTGGTGGCAGGCTCCGTAGCGCTCCTCAGCTGCGCGCTGGCTGCCGGTCTCTCCGGTGGGGCAGGATGCGGGGCGCCTCCCGGCGCGGAAGAGCGCCGGCAGAGGGCGCTGCTGTGCCCTCTGGCTTCGGCGGGCGCTGTGTCAGATCCCCGGGAGCGCGGGGCTGTCGGGGAGCCCTGGGGCCGGGCGGTGTGACACTGTCCCACGGTGGTGCTGAACCTTCCCGATGCAGTGACTGCTCTGTCATCTTGACGTGCTTGCAATTGTAGATAAATCAGTCTTGCAGTGGTTTCATATTTCATTGATTTAGTGTTGAAATCATAAACGCGAACAAGTCAGACCCGCTGTGAAACTAGAGTTTAGGCAGGCAGACGTTTAAATGCCAACAGAACTGTCTGTGTTTATTAACCAGATAAGACTGAGGCAGTGGTAATAAGGAAAACTAGGATGTAAAAGCCAAGGGGAGCAGAAAAGCAATTCAGTTTTTCCATGTATGTCATTTGGAAATACTGAACCCATGTGAGTTCAGCCACTGCCCCAGTCATGTTCAGCTAAAGAAGATAGGCTTTGCTTCTGTTGGCTCATCTCTTTGTTTCCCTCCCAAGTTATACTACCATGAACTATCAACTTCAATGCAGATAGATGC